TTTTCTTCCTAATTGCGCTTACATATTTAGAAAGATAATTATACTATTATGTGTTAGGAATATTTTATAATATTTTAACAATTTAAAAAAAAAAAATTCGATATATTCAAAGAGCATTAAAGGAGTGTGATTTGTATATAAAAATATTTACGACACTAAAAAAATATCTAGTGGGTCCCCAAGATCTTCGCCATAATATAGTGGTTGACTCCTAATAAAAATTCTTATATTCTCTATCCTCAAAAGTTCTCTTGTTCATCTCTTTCCAAATAATAAAAACTGTAGCCAAGGGGATAAGCCTGATAAAGCAGTTACCACCTTGGATGCCCGTCACTCCCAATTCTCCTTCTTACCGTGCCTATAATGACCTAACTCAAACCCAATAAGCTATGTGTGAAAGACCAAAGGTGGTGCTCACAGACGGTCACCGGAGGAGGATATGATTACACATCTCACCATCACTTTTGCACAAGTAACACCCATTCCAACCATCAATATCTTTCCTCTTCTGATCAATTTGTCCAAATTTAGAATGCGTTCTCACACCTTCCCATGTGAAGAAGCCACTCTAGAGTTGCCTTCACCTTCCAAATAATTTCTGATGGGAACTTATTACATGCGCTGCCTCTTTTAGTCAGATGCATGTAATACAAAATTAAGCAAGTCCTTTTGGATTCAGGCCCTAAATAGGTTCATCCTCAATTGCATTGAGGATGACCACTAGGAAAAGCAATTTGAGAAGGTTGATATATTCATCAATCTCTTAGTCATTCTAGTTCTCTAATTAATTCAACAATCCAAGTGCCCCTACAAGGATCCCCAACTTGTAGGACATTGGCAAAAAATTTTTCAAACATATCTTTTTGCTGGACAATGGCAAAAATTGTGGGAAACTGCAAGTATAAAGCCTCTCTTAGCATTTAATTGATCCCTCCCAAAGCTCAGCATCTCCCCCAACTTGATTTTCTATCTGATGCATTTTCTAAGTTCATCTTTGCTGGATTGATACCTTTCCACACCCTAGAGTGATATGGACCTCTCGAACTCGTGACATGCTAGCCATATGGATCTAATCCATACTTTGCCACCTTCACCTTCCTCTAAAAACTATCCTGCTTCCACGTGAACTTCTGCAACTGTTTCACTTGAAGAAGTGAGTTAGACTAAACCAAATGTTTCACTCCTAGCCCACCCTACTGAAATGGTTGTTTCACCATATCCCATGCCACCAGTTGAAACCTTCTTTCTTGTTCAATTTGTCCTAAAGAAATTTGCGTTGAATCGCCTCTAACCTCTTAGCCATACTCATTGAAATTGTGATTGGAGACATGAATAGATTGGAATGTTAGCTATTGAGCTCTTAAAAAGGGTAAGTCTTCCACCTTCGGAGAGTAAATCCCTCTTCCAACTAGCCAAGTGAGACTCATATCAACTCACCACCAGATTCCAGGACAATATATCCTTAAACTTCGCACCATGGCGTAGACCCAAATGATTAAATCAGAAGATTGACACTTTTACGATCGATCTTCAAGAAGCATGAGTGTTCAAGGGCCTTGCTTATAATTTTGCTACATTTAGGTATCATCACTTTCGGGGCTTCTTAGTGGAGGTGGTCTTGGGAATATTATTGACAAGTTGATTGATTCCCTTGTATAATAATTATTATTATTTTTGTCTTGTACATAGGTTACACCCTCTTGGTTTCCTTACGCATGATACATTCTTTTTTTCCCCCTTAAAAGAGTATATAACTTAAATCATTATCTTTTTCCACATCAAATACATATCTAGATGGTCAAATGACAAACTCTAACTGATTAAGCGACCAGCACAATAGTTGAATCAACATTCCTTCCCCAATCTAACAACTTCGGTTCGTTTGACGGAAGCCAACATTTCTTAATTAAGTGTTGTCTATGAAGGATTTGATACATAATGTAACTTTAAAATCTAAACCTCTTTCTGGTCAATTCAGTATTCTACTTCCTGTTGTCCAGTCATAACTCTAGCAAGGAGAAAGTATTTCTGGACTATTCAATCTGCTTTTTTATATGATTTAAGTATTCTAGACTTCATTTAATCGTAATGCCAACACCATTATTTAATGAAACCTTTATTGTCGGGGTCTTAGTTAATTGTCTAGTACTGTAGCCACAGACAGATTCACTAATGATTCTAACTTAAAAAGTTAATGATTTAGGCTAAAGGAGTCCTGGAAAAAAAATTATTAAGAACCAAAATTGGAGATATTAAGTCTTGATAATCAAATTTATAAATCAGTATTTGTATTATAACCATATGAATGGTCTATTAACTAACTTAGAGAAGGTACTCCAATAATAGGTACCAGAATGCAATAAAAAACTAGAAACTCTTCAAAATTTTTAAGAAATCTACAAAATAGAAAAATAAGTTAATTAATTGGAATAATCTATACTAGAGAGTAACTAAATAGGAAATAGTAAACTCATACCAATAATAAACCTGTAGATACCGGTTCTTAAATAAGCTAAATACTTAAAAAATACATAAACATTGCAACTACATAAATATCTCTTAGTATTGAAATATATCTGTGTTAAGATTTTTTACTATGCATTATTGTACTCTACTTGGTGAAAGTTCGATATCAAGTTTTAAAATGTCGAAATAGAAAAAATATGATAGTTAGAATTTGTCGTTATAACAATATGTGCTTGTAAAACTTAGACATTTTTGTGAAAGAACAAGAATGCTTCCAAAATCAAAGATTTTGAAGTAATGAATCAATTAGAAATAAGAAAATCCGTATAAGGAAGAATCACCTAGACTTTCCTTATTCTATTAGGAGATAAAGAACTTTAGGGTAGTATCTTCCTGTGGGGCCTATTTTTCTTGAAATCAAATATAATTTTGTTTTCTTCAATCTCAACAATAACATTATTTATTACAAGTAAATCAAGAGATCTATACTTTATCCATCAATGTATTGTCATTATTTAGATGGTTAATGTGGATCTCCCCATTTGTCTCATCTATTAACTTGCTCTCATTTGTTTTATTGTTAATGATAATGACATCATATTGCTTATAGAAAGAAATAGGTTGAAGCATTTATGATAACTACATCATTATAATCTTGTTCGTTGTAATTATACAAGAGAATGCCTGACAATTTTATTGTTTGTATTAGAGATTGTTTTAAGGTTAGTGGCACAACTTTCAAAACACTAATAGCTTGTAAGCAACAAGTGAAACTTTTTTATTTTCTCTTCAAACACTTCCCGGGAGCAAAAGGAGCAACTCTACTAAGATGTACTCGCTTGTAAAAAGTGGCTATAACTGCTTTTGTATATGAAATAACATTGTCTACCAAGACTGGATAGACTCCAAGAAGCGCTTGAACATTCTTCTATTAATTCTTTAAGTCCAAAATCACCAGATATAGTCTAATTCATATAACTATTTTAAGAATTAAGATCTCTTTAACATGTGATTATCTCATTCTTTCCCTAATATTAAATGACAATTAGTTCAAAATCATTTGTATGTTGTCATAAGAAATATTTCCTGTAGTTATTTTAGTGAACTCACATTTGCAATAAACAACTTCCAAGGCATATCGGCTTCTCTTAGTATTACATATGTTCACTTTAGGATCTTCTTGTCCTGAATCATGGAGGTCCTTAGATTTGGTTTAGATTTAGAGTTTGATGTTTATTTATCTTGCTTTCTACTCATGGGTATGGATGATATCTCTTCATTGTCCTTGGGGTAAACATGTGATTAATGTTGAAGACAATTTTAACACAAGGTTCTAGATAAAATACAAACTTCTCAGCAATATGTTAGTTATAAATTGAACTAAATATTTTTTAATGCATTAGTTTTAAACTGTAAACCAGCTAGATGAAAATGATCCAAGTAGCATAACAACCTCTTGAAATTGTCACAGTTGGTTCTCTAAAAATCTTAAGGGCCCACATGGGGTTGGTTTGTGAGGAGAATCAGTATGGAGATGGAAAATGTTTTTGATTGTATTAGGTGGAGAGGTGGGACCAGGGGATGGAGTGAGCTTTTTGAAAGATGAATGGATGGAAATGGGTGTTCTTTATCATCAATTCCCGAACATTTATGCAATGGCACTCGATAGAGAAGCACGGTAAACGATTATATGTAGGGTCAAAGCGATAACGAGGATTGGTGGATTGGGCTTAAGCCAAACTTAAATGATTAGAAGGTCCCAGAATATATGAATTTATTTGAGACAGTATTATTCTCTAGGAGGGGCTAGTCTAATGGGGATAGACTGTGTTGGAAACTTTACCCTTATGGTCTTCATGGTCATAGGGGATGAGATGGAGGAGGATTTTCCTACTAGGTTGATTTGGAATGTAAAAGTAACTCTTAAGGATTGCCTTCTTCACATGGGAAGCTGTTTGGGGATGTATTTTTTAATGTTCGACAACCTTATTAAAAGGGAAAAAATTTCTGCTGAATGGATGGTACTTTTGTAAGAGAGAAGTTGAGTCCGGTAATCATTTTCTCTTATGATGTTTGCTTGCTGAGAAATTGTGGAGATTAGCTTATGGTCTTCTGAATTTGAATTGGTAATTGCTGGATCAGTGAAGGAGTTATGTGCTTGGAGCAGAATACTTTGGGATAAGATAGTGAAACTCATCCTTTTGGCTACTTTCTGGGTGATTTAGAAGGAGAGGAATAAAAGGATTCTTGAGGCATTGATTCTAATTTTGACAAACTGAAAGATAATTTGTTCCATATCCTAAGTTTTTTGTTAATAGAGTCATCCGTCATGTTCTATCGAAGATTTCAGGATCTTATAGATATTTTGGCTGACTTGTACATATTGTATACAGGCTGCATCCTTTGGTGCTTTCGATTTTATATGAATATTTCTACACTTTTTATTTAAAAAAAATACTGCGATCCTATGCATATTTAAGTTAATTATTTATTTATTTATCTTTTGTTGTAACAATTTGTACCAATTGTTGCAGGGAACTGCTAAAGGCATATGCTGAATGTGAAAATAGCTCTGAGATAATCGCAGTGCAAAATTCTTGGCTTTCCCAGCAAAATCAGGTTACAAAGGCTCTTCCAGATCTGGAAGGTAATCCCTTTTATATTCGATTCACAAATTACTACTTCTCATTGTAAAGTCACACTTCTATACAATTGAGTTTTGGCATGAGAATCATTAGTAGTCATCTTGTTAATGATACATGGTCTTAAAGCAACTAACTGTGGTTGAGTTGCTCATGTTTTTCCCTCATGGTACAAAGCCTTACAAGTCTACTTGGCGCCATTAGGAAAAAACAATACACGGCTCTAGCTTATATGAACTTCTGCAAAGCCAATTGCTTTTTGATAGCTTACAGTATAAATATTCCTTTTTGATAATTCCAATAGAAGTAATTTATAAATCGCATGTAACAACATATAAGTCAATAAAACTCTTGTTAGACAATAAGATCATAGAACTTCAAAGGGAGTGAAGAGTTTATACTCTCTAAACTAAATACTTTGCAATATGAAATTCTAATAGTAAGCTAAGAATATGATTGGGGTTCCTAAAAAACCTAATAAATTTCTTCAATAGTTCAAAAAGTGTCAAAAGTTATATGATTATTACAAGATATTTCCCAGTCCAAAAAACTTTCCATTTTAGCTTCTGGTTCTCCATCCAGTTTTCTTCCTTATCCAATATTTTCAAACCAATGATAACTTTATACAATTAAGGTGAAGGGTATACTAGTAAAGTTCCCATATACATAATTGATTGTATGTTCCTTTTATTATTTTAAGAATGTGTAAACATGGGATTCTCGAATTCAATAATACACACAACATTCATTCTTGCGCATGGTATTAAGCTGTAGGAAAAAGTCTTATGTCTCCCTAAGAAATCTTAATTGGCCTTTCATCTTCGAAATAAGACAAAAAACTCCATATCCGGCCTTCATCAGCAGCAGTCATCCTTCACAGCTAGGAAACCACTTTGTTGCACTGGAAAACACCATTGGCGCGTCGGAAAGCACCCTATTTCCGTATGCTCCACTCCAGTCATAACTTCTCTTTGCCCTCTGTTTTGCTCTGTTTCGACTTTGTTTTCACGCACTGTTTGTGCTGTTTCGGCTCTGTTTTTCGTGCCCTGTTTTGCTTTGTGCATAGTTCTGCTCTGTTTTACCCCTTGTTTTGCTCTATCTTGTATGCAAATCTGCTATTGTTTTTGCAAGCAGATTTGCTATGTTTTTAACGCACAGATCTACTATGTTTTCACACATATTTGCTCTGCTTTCAGCATTATGCTCTGCTTTATTTTTGGTGACCCGTTCTACTCTGTTTCAGTTGTAATTCCTCTGATTTCTAGTGTTATTGAGGTCCAATGGTTTGTTCTTTTTATCGATGATTACACTAGAGTAACTTGACTTTTTTTGCTAAAATCCAAACATGGGATTAAGCACATTATTTCTTAATTTCACAATATGATCAAAGCTCAGTTTGGGGTAAAAATTAATATTTTCAAACTGATAATGTTCATGAATACTTTAATTAAACAATATCTTCCTTTTTCCAAAGTGAGGGGATCATTCACAAGTTTTCCTATATCTACACTCCACAAAAAAATGGAGTTGTAGAACGGAAAAACAGTCACCTGCTTCTCATCACACTATTAGGGAAAAGCCATTTTGACCTAAATATGTCTTATCAATAGGCTATCATCTTGGGGACTAGACCTTCACAGTCAAACAATTATAGCTATTTTCTTTCTTGAAGTTTGAACAATCAATAGCCTTATTCCTTGAGTCTTCGATTGTGTTGCCTATGTTCACATATGTCAATCTCAACGAAGAAAACTTGATCCTAGGATCATCAAATGTGTGTTTGTGGGGTGCTCACCTACTCAAAAAGGATACAGATATCATCCTCGTGCTCAATAATTTTATGCATTTGCTGAAGTTAGTTTTTAGAGATTGAGTCGTTCTTTACTAAATCTTATCCTCAGGAGGAGAGTACATTAGAAGATGAGGAAGACTCACTTCTATTTGATATCCTAGTGTCTGTAAACACTACATCTTATCAAAAAAATAACCACCACATCAGAAAACCAAAAACCATAAGATACACCTGAATATATACCATTACAAGATACACTTGAATACATACCACCAGAAAAACAATTAGAAAAATGAACTAGAATCCTCAACCATACAGAACCCGCGGTTCTCGCTAGTGTATTTCAGAAGGAAAAACTCTGATTCTAGTCCAAAGTAAATTCATGAATCCAAGTCGAGTACTGGAAATGAAGTAAGCTCTAAAAACATTTTACTTTCTGATATAAACATACCTATTGCGCTCAAAAAATGGACAAGAGAATGCACTAAGCATCCACTTTACTCGATCTCAAACTTTCTACCAGTTGAAAAGTGTTCTGTCTCAAAAATTTTTTGATGAGTCTAAGTACATTATTTATTCATAAGGCAATATTTGAGGCTTTATTTAGTAAGGAACAGAAAAATATTATAAAAGTTGAAATGCGGGCCTGGAGAAGAACAAAGCATGGGGAGTGGTGGACCTATCCCAAGAAAAGAAATCAGTAGGGTTAAAGTGGGTATTCATTATAAAGTATAAACTTGATGGATCTATAGAGAGATAGAAGGTAAAATTAGTGGCTAAAGGATATAACAAAAATTATGGAATTGATTACTAGAATACTTTTGCACCAATAACAAAAATAGATGTTGTACATGTTCTATTATCCTTGGCTGCAAATTTTAATTGGCAATTTGATGTGAAGAATGTCTTCCTACTAGGAGAATTAGAAGAAGAGCTTTATATAGAAATTCCTCTAGGGTTTATCAAAAACATAAAGATAAATCAAGTACGCAAGCTAAACAAAACATCGTATGGGCTCAAGCAGTCTTCTAAAGCATGGTTTGGACTATTTGAAAGCGCTATGCTAGCTATGCATTACAGACAAAGTTAAGGAGATCATACCCTTTTTATTAAATGTTCCTGTAGAAAATAAAATAATTAGAAAAATAAATTAGGATTTTTACAGCTGTTATGTGCTGTACGTAGAGGGTATCACCAACAAATTTTCTCAAACCAGAATTTTGTTAGAATTTCTCTAGAATTTGTTAGGTTGTTAGAAGTAGCAGATTTGTATATATATGTGTGAATCATTCATCAAGAAATGAGAAGCAGAATATTTTTCCTCTCAATTTTCTTCATGGTATCAGAGCATACCTAATCCAAGAAGAAATCAAATCCTGCTAAGCCGTAATCAGAAATGGCCTCAGGTGAGCTTCCATCATCTCTACCAGAAGTTTCTTCTGGTTCTTATCACCACACAGCAGCAACCAGAGCTGTGAGTGAGCAACCATCATCCTGTATCATAAGACATAAACTCGATGCCAGTAACTTCCTTCAATGGTCGTCATGTGTCCGTCTCTTCATCCGCGAAACGAGGCGTTATGGGCACCTCACTGGCAAGCTCGTGCCTCCTCCAGCATCCGATGCAAATACACAAACCTAGGAGATTGAAGACAGTATAGTCATGTCCTGGCTTATCACCTTAATGACCCCTGAAATCAGAGAGAATTTCCTTCTCTACGAAACCGCTCACGAAATCTGGAAGGCAGCACAGGAACTCTACTCCAGCAAGCAAAATACCTTCGCAATATTCGTAATCGTGTCAACTCTTCATGACCTTCGGCAAGGAGAACTCAGTGTCACCCAGTATTACAGTCTCCTTAGTCGAAGTTGGCAACAGATGGACGCCTTTGAGTAGCGTCGCTGGAACTGCCCGGAGGACGCGAAAAACTTCGGAGCTTTCGTGGAAGAAAAGCGGGTCTTCAAATTCCTGCTAAACAAAAATCTCGATGCGATTTGGGGGCGTGTTCTGAGCACCAAACCTTTGCTGAGTCTTCGATAAGTGTTTTCTGATGTTCAACGCGAGGAGAGTCGTCGGAAATCATGATGGGAGAGATTGACCAACCTCACCCGACTTAAAATTCTTCAGCTCTCACAACCCGAGCGATTTACAGTCGAACAAAGAAGACAAGGCCCTGGTGCGACCATTGTCAAAAGCTAAGGCACACTCAAGAACATTGCTGGAAGCTTCACGGCAAGCCAAGTGCCTGGAAACTACCTTCGGGTGAGTGAAAAATGTCGAAAGCAGAGACCTCCAGTAAGCTTCAAGGAAATCACGTGATGGCTAAGGAAGCAATTTCTGATGAGATGGGAAAAGAACCATTTACCCCTGAGCAGTTGGAAGCCCTCCAATGTATTTTGTCCAAGAAGTCTCACCTAGTCAGTGCTTCTGTGGCACACAAAGGTAATATTCATGACTTATCTGTTTTTTCAGAAAAAGGACAGATGTGGGTGGTAGACTCTGGAGCATCTTATCATATAAATGGCGATTTCTCAATGTTCCAAAATTACAGAAGATGTGAAGAAAATATTTCAATTAGAATTGCAGATGATTCTCTCTCAAAAGTGGCAGGAACGGGTTCTGTAAATTTGTCTTCAAATTTGGATTGTAATTTGTTGTCAGTCAGCAAGCTATGTGAAGATTTGAAATGTGCTACGAAATTTGTTTCTAATATGTGTAATTTTCAGGATTTGGACTCGGGGAGGACGATTAGTAGAACTAGGATGATCTCAGGATTATATTTGTTTCAAGTCAACACTTCTAAAAGACAAGCTCACAATGCAGTATGTGAAAACTCTGTTTCTATTTCCGAAAATAATGACCATGATATTATGTTGTGACACTATAAACTATGACATCCAAACTTCATATACTTGAAAAAGATGTTCCCACTACTATTTAAAGGAAAAGATCCAGTTTTATTACAGTGTGAAGTTTGCCAATTTTCTAAACATATTCGAAGTTCATTCCCTAGCCTACCATATAAACCGTCTAAACCATTTGCATTAATTTATAGTGATGTTTGGGGCCCTACTAGAGTTTCCAACGTTTTCAGAACTAGGTGGTTTGTATCTTTTATTGATGACCATACAAGAATCACTTGGGTAATTTCTCATGAAGGAAAAATCTGAAGTGGGATCCCTATTTAAAAAATTCCATACAATGATTCGAACCCAATTTCATACTATCATCTAAGTATTAAAATTTGACAATGCTTGTGAATATTTTGAAAATATTCTTGAAAAATACTTTACTGAACATGACATTATTCATCAAATCTCCTGTGTTCATACTCCACAACAAAACAGCATAGCCGAAAGGAAAAACAAGCATATCCTTGAGGTTGCCAGATCACTCATGTTCACTACTCATGTACCAAAATATCTTTGGGGAGAGGCTGTTCTTTCAGCTACCTATTTGATTAATCGGATGCCCTCTCGTATTATATAGTTTCAATCACCGTACACTATCTTCTCAAAAATCTTTTCCGATTCACACATCTTAAACACTTTGCCACTTAAAGTCTTTGGTTGTTCAGCATATGTCCATGTTCATAAACATCTTCGTGGGAAATTAGATCCAAGAGTAATAAAATGTATTTTTGTTGGGTACTCAGCAAATAAAAAAGGATACAAATGTTTAGTTATGAAAATTTGTCGATTTTATAATACAATGGACATCACATTTTTTGAGAACCAACCGTTTTATCCCCTACTGATATTCAGGGGGAGACATTCACTCAGAAATATCAGTTGTGGAATGTGAGTGTACCTCCTCTCTACCCACAAAATCCAGTACCAGACAAACTTTCTCTGGAGATTGAACTCGAAACCTCACAAAAGAAATCAGAACCAAAATCAGTTACAGAAAGCACATTACTTGCAACGAGTGAGCTACGTGTCTATACGAGAAGAAACAAAGGAAAAGCACCTGAATCATCCAAGTACTGCCATGAATCCATAGCTGATCCAGGTAACGTAATTTCTGTACCAACTCTTGATTCCGTTGATTCTGATATTCCCATTGCTTTGAGGAAGGGTACTCGGACATGCACCAAACATCCTATACAGGACTATGTTTCATTGGACAAATTATCCTTGGAATATCATACTTTTGTGTGCAGGATAGACAACAAATCACCTGAACCCAGAACGATACATGAGGCCTTGGAAATTCCATAATGGAAGTTAGTTGTCCTAGATGAGATCAAGGCACTTGAAAAGAATGAGACATAGGAACTAACTGATCTTCTTCCAAGAAAGCGTCAAGTGGGATGCAAATGGGTTTTTACAACCAAATATAATTCAAATGGGAGTGTGAATCGGCTTAAGGCTCGCCTGGTAGCCAAAGGCTATACACAATCATATGGTGTAAACTATTAGGAGACATTTGCACTAGTTGCCAAGAACAATAATATTCGGGTACTCCTCTCACTTGCATCTAACCTTAATTGGCCACTGTGCCAATTAGATGTAAAGAATGCATTCCTTAATGGCGGTTTGGAAGAAGAGATGTATATGAATATACCACCAGGGTTCGAATTAACTGACAATTCTCAGAAAGTGTATAAATTGAAAAAATTACTCTATGGCCTAAAACAATCTCCAAAGGTATGGTTTGACAGATTCACAAGAGCTGTAAAATATAAAGGATATGAACAATGTCAATCCGACCATACATTGTTCGTCAAACACTGCATCTGAGGTAAGAAAGTTATTTTGATTGTATATGTTGATGATATCATTCTTACATGAGATTACCTTTAGCAGATTCAAAAACTTAAAGAATTCATGCCCAAAGAATTTGAATTAAAAGATCTTGGGGTACTAAAGTAGTTCTTCGGTATGACAGTGGTTAGATCCAAAAAGGAAATTTCAGTTTCTCAACGAAAGTGCATTCTGGATCTCCTAAAAGAGACTGAGATGGTAGGAAGCATCTGCTGACACCCTTATGGATTCAGTCATCAAACTTAGATCCAGAATCAGCGATAAAATAGTTGATAAAGGGAGATACCAAAGACTTGTTGGGAAATTTATTTACTTGGCTCACACAAGACCAGACATCTGTTTTGCAGTAATTCAGTTCATGCATCATCCAACTGAAGATCACATGAGTGTTGTGTATTAGATTCTGAAATATCTCAAGAAGACTCCAGGACAAGGTTTATTCTTTCAGAAGACAGACAGAAGGGGTGTTGAAATCTACACGGATGCGGATTGGGCAGGTTCTACAGATGACAGGAGATCTACATCAAGATATTGTACCTATGTTTGGGGTAACCTGGTTACTTGGAGAAGCAAGAAACAGTCTGTTGTGTCTCGCAGCAGTGCAAAATATGAATTTAGAGCGTTTGTTCATGGTATTTGTAAAGGTGTATGGTTGAAGAGAATACTTGAAGAATTAAAAGTACTCAACAATATGCCTATGAAAGTATAGTGCGACAACCAATCAACAATTAATATGGTCAAAAATCCAGTACATCATGATAGAACCAAATATGTTGAGATTGATCGTCATTTCATTAGAGAGAAATTGAAAGATGGGACTATAACTCTGATGCACATTCTAACAAATCAACAGATCGCAGATATTCTAACAAAAGCTCTTCAGTTCCAATGCAAGGAGAGAACAACCTTTCTAGTGTATAAAGATGACAAGATGTGACATGTAATGATGAAAGGAGAAAACTGTTCTCAAGCAATATCTGACTAGAGAATTTAGAATCAATTAAGGAAGTCAAAGTACTTTCTTAGGATAGAAATAACATACTTTAAAGTAAGGATATTTATCTCACAACATAACTATGTCACTAACTTTTTAAAGAAGACCCGCAAGTTGGCATGTAAACTATTGGTACTCCAATTATATCCCAGTCACAAACTGGGATTGGCAGAAAAAGATTCCGATGTTAACAAAAAAATGTATCAAAAATTGCTTGGAAAACGAAATATCTATCACACAACGAAAGGGATATCACTCACGCAATAAGTGTGATAAGTCAATTTGCACACAAGCCGAAGGAGGTACAGTTGCAAACTGGATATCAAGTAGTCAACTATGTAAAGGGTACACCGAGAAATATATTATGTTTAAAAGAAACAATCGGATGATTATTGAATCTTACATCGATGCAGATTATGCAAGATAATTAGCTGATAGAAGATCCACCACTAGTTACTATACTTTCCTCAAAGTAAATCTTGTCGCATGGAGAAATAAGAAACACAAATTGTAGCTTGATATAGTGCTGAGTTAGAATTCAAGACACTGGCCCTAGGGGTGAATGAACTTTTGTGGCTGCAAAAGATCCTGGAAAACTTAAAAATTGAATGGGAAAGGCATATGAGACTTTACTGCGATAACAAGTTAACAATTAGTATAGCAGATAATCTAGTTCAACATAAAAAAACCAAACATATTAAAGTCAACAGACATTTTATCAAGGAGAAACTAGATAGTGGTGTGATTAGCAAGGCCATTTCGACAATTGGTTGGTTTTCTTCGTCTACTTGTTGATTTACTAACTAAAGGATTGAACAATCCAAGATTTCATATGATGATTTCTAAACTAGGAATAAACAATATTTACATCAGTTTGAGGAGTGTTGGAAAATATTTATTAAATAGAAAAGTGTCTTTGTATAATTAGGATAAAGAGTATACTAGTAAAATACCAAAATATGTAATTGATTATATTTTTCCTTTTATTACCCTAAGAATATGTATTTACAGAGCCCACTAATTTAATAATACACAACATTCATTCTTCTACAGTTATCATCTCCTAGAATATCTTAGTTTAAGTTTAATCATTTTGAAACACTGCATTAAGATATCATGAGGGTTGCGACATGCTTGGATGTCAGATATTACCTCTATTTTTAGAGTTTTTAGTATTTTTCTTTTTACATTAAAGAAACTTCAATGTATGTGAGAACTATTTAATAAGATATCAAAACCGTTAATCATTCACCATAAAAATGTTAATTTGATTCCAACATTTCCATATTGGGTTTCGGCCTTGTTTTTACATTATTTATTTATGGTTTTGTGTGGGGGAGCGTCGTATCTTACTTGCTTAGCTTTTCTCTCTACACACTTAGAAATTACTAAAAACATTTGTAAGAAGCAGTAAACAACAAGGGTTTGTCCTAAAGTAGATTATTAACTATAAGAACTAGTAGGAGTCATCATTTTTAGAAGTTATTAAAGTCATAGTTCTTCAAGTGTGAAATATCCGGTACCTTTTTTTTTCTGTCTTTCATATGTTTATTACAAATTGGATGAGATACTTTTCACCTATTGAACTATGTTTGCAGGAGTTTGCAATTTTTAAACTTGAATTTTATAAGAGACAAATAATGCAAATACGAGGTGGTTTGTTTTGGGATATAAGCCCTTGACTTATAAGCCAAAAAATAATTTCTTGATATTAGTTTTTTTTTGTTAATAGATTGTAAGTTCTAGAAAATACCTTAGGTAATCAAACTTTTTCGCATAATATTGTTTAAAATTGATAAAAATTTCTTTTCTAAGAGTTTAACAATCTAAAATTTTAACACTTTTATGGTGCTGCAGATCTCAATGAAGATGAGGGGTCCACTAGTGATTCTGATGATAACCTTCCACCTCTGGAAAGAATGTCAATCATTTGAGCTTGCAGATAGGGATGAGGAGAGTGCGTAGATGAGATAGTCTGATATCAATTGCATGTTGAAAAGTTAGGTAAATTGCAGTGAAGC